GCTGTACATAATCAGAACATAAGGATCCATCGATACTCTCACAGAGGAATCTGGGCAACTTCGAGTTGTTCAGTGAATTCTTCTCATGTTGATAACAGGATGTTCGATGAAATTGTTGTCCCACTGAAACAAAGCCGTACAGCTACAATCCTGCAATAATTAATCATATCATCGCGAGCTACGAACCGTTCCACTAGTTCTTTGAAAATTCTAAAAAACATTGTCGATGGGTACATTCTTCTTCTTCAAAAATTTGTTTCTGGAAAGCTGGCAAAAAGATTATAATAATTGATTCCAAAACTGTCAGCTTCCGAATGAGTCATGTGCACAACCACACACACACACCTGCTCACTGTGAATGAATATGAAGAGGGAGATGAAAAAAGCTTTTATTTTTGATCCTGATTGACCACCTTGAAGAGTTGAAAATTTTTTTCTAGTTCGATTTCGATAGGACTGAGATTGATTCAACTCGAGCTGTTCTACCATAAACTGAAACGAGCGGTCTGATGACGGTTCATATTAATTTCATGAAATAAAATGAAAAACGAAGAGCAGAACTGACCTCTTTTGACTATTGAAGAAACTTTTGCTCTGTAGTCCGCGTTAGACATGAGAACATAGTATGATCCGAATATGGGATAAATACTTACACAACAGCAAGCGAGCTGGGCAACAACTGAAAGTACTCATAGATGAGGCAAGTAAACACACCACATACTTGGACTTCCGAGGCTGGAACAAATACAAAATGCCAAACAAATGAAAGGAATACCCAATGCGACTGTTTCCAAGAAAATCTAAACAACATCGGCAGATTTTCTAATCAAAATGGAAACACCCCTACAAAATATAGGATTCCAAGTGTTATTCTACGCTGACAGGCCAGAAACACAGCAGACTGAGATGTCTTTTTCAAATTCCTCACACTTCGGATCAGAATTCCCCCACAGACAGTCGAAGTTATGACATAAATAACGATGAAAAGAACTGTGTAGGTTATAGCTAAAAAAACGATCGCTCCATCTGAAGAAATAAAGTTGAGCCCATGTAAGGTGTGCATCTCGATCGGATATGGATATGTGATTTTCTGAAAACATTTTCTCGTAGTGGAAAGGCGGAATGTAATACCTTCATGCATGCACGCTTTGCTTTTTCACCACCATCTTGTAGGTGCACACCAACGAGTGGTAGGATGAAGACTTGAGACAAAGCTTGAGTGAAAAAGATACTCAAGATAGTTTTCTTCCATTTGTTCATCGTCTGAGAAACCGCAAACGACCGATTGATTGGCAGAAGTAGAGAGAAGGATGAACTCACTGGAAAAAAAAGTTTTTTGAGGGCCGATCATAGTTCTTTTAGTTACCATTTACCGCAGCGAACAAAGACCAGATTTGGTTCTTTGTGCTCATAATTCCGAATTGAGTGAAGAAACCGTTTGAGTAGCCAGAGGTACAAGGAAGAAGTATACTTGGGATGATTCCTAGTGTCATATATAGTTGAGTAAAAGCAGATCTGAAAGATCTCTGTTAATTTCTTTTTCAAAAATAGTGCTTACGACAAATCATGGCCATGTATGACGAACCGAGTTAAAGGAGTCATCTTAGTAGAGACAGTGAGAAGAAGATAAAGTGATACAAATATGATGATGAATCCAAAAGAGGACAAGCTGTAC